GTGTGTGTGATTTCTCTTTCTGCCTGGCTCCTGGGTTTGTAGGGACACGGTCTGCTCTGTGGTACAGAGTCCTGATCACTCCTAACTTGTGTTCCAGTGGGTGGTGGGAGTCAAAACGCAGAGTGTTGCTTTGACTCATTCACGCATGTTTAAGAAATCCTTCCATCTCCTCTGGTTGCCAAGTGGAGCTTTTGCCGGGACAAAGCTCCACCTATTTGTGCATAGCTCCTCCCTGGAGCTCAGTCTGCAGCTGAGTTCTCGTCCCTCCCCTGAAGCATTGTTGTGAAGTGGGAGTGTCTGAAATGGCAGGAGTTCTTGGGGCCAATTTCAAACCATTTAGTCAAATTTATGTTTGATATATATTTTCCGGGGGGAAATAAACAGATGCATTGGATTTATTTAACCAAATCACGTCGACTGGCTCCGAACAACTGAACTGAGTAAATGTAAAGCAATTTTACGTGTACTTTAAAAGTAAATGTGAAGTAAATGCATTACTTTTACTCAATTCAGTTGAGTGCAACCAGCTGACATGATTTGGTTAAGTAAATGCAGTGGTATAAGAATGAATCAAACTAACAGAGGTTGTTAGATTGTATCAGTAGAAAACAGAACATGATCACCCAGGTTGGAAATGTTCTGTCTGTTCTGATCAACTTCATCTTACTTATTACGAGTAATTAGGCGCACTGAATTAGATCCCTGCACCTTTTGACCACATCTTGCGTTTGATTAAACAATCTGAGGAGGAATTATACCTTTACATGGAGRTATTTTTGGAGAGAGGAGATAGGGGAGCTAACAGGTTTGTGTGAGGAGAGATGAGAGAGTCTGCCAGTTAAAATAAAGAAAAGGAGAATTGAGGGAACATCGACCCGTGTGGATAACAGCACCTCTGAATTTAACCATTTGATGTGATTTGCAGCGCAGGAGAGAAAAGGAGCTGGTCACTCTCAGCTGCTTGTGAACACATCCCCAGCTCGCTCCTCCGCGAGCGCCTGCACCTGCGCGTCACAACACGATGGCAACTCTTTAAACCCCCCTTTCCCCCCCACTTCAGATACAAGTGGCCGCAGACAGCATCGTCCTCCTCTTCCTCCTGCAGCTCATCTCTGTGCGCGCGGCTGACACCAGCAGCGGCATCGCGGACACAAACTTTTTTTTTTTCGTCTTTGGCGAGAATTTTACGCACAGAAATTCTCGTCGATCTGGAGCAGAGTCAAATCAACAGAACGCTGCGTTTTCTTCTTCTACCAGCGCGATTTTTTTTTTACAACAACTTTCAGAGGGAACATGCAAGTTTATGTGGCTGTGATTTTCGCCTATGGGGTGTCGGGTGAGTTCAGCAGAAATTAAATGAAGCTGATTTTTTTTTAGACACTGATTTTGCTTATTTTCTCTGCACAATGCAACAACAAAAAAAAGTGAGGAAGGATGGTGCTCGAGGAATTTTACCACCATTATGGGGAACATTTGTCATTTTACTTCAGGGGAAACTGGGGGGATTTTTGGTGACCACAGGTGGCATCCTCTCAYATATGTGAAAATAAGTGTGATAACATGCTATTTTATCTTTGCGAATTTTAATTTATCCAGGTCATAAAAAARGCGTTTGTGACTCTCACGTCTGCCTTTTTTTCAGAGTCCACGTGTGCAAACAACCACGTTGTTTTACATTCATCCTAATTACTAAGGATGTTTTATGACTGCCCTTGGTGTTGATCTTGTTTTCATTCTGTCTTGAGCAAATTCATCATTTTTTTGAAGCATTATTATTCATCCTTAGCTGTGCACTGATGCATTAAACTGATGCATTAAGTCAGACCTCCTTTGCTGCTGTTGTAAAATCTACTGTTATGGCTTAGTTGAAGGTTGCAGAAGGTATTATTTTTGATTTATATGTGCAAGTGGAGAACATTTTAAAATCAAAACACTGCAAAACTGAAATAAAATATTTAGTTACATTAATTTTATTTATTTGGCAACATTTGTTTTCTATGGAGCCCGGGAGGGGACATTGGATTTTTTTTCTTTTGCATTCCCTCACAATATTGTTTTGCGTTCCCACGCAAAAGATTGTTTTGATTTAGACACTAACATCCTTTTTACCAAAAAACATTCTCAAAGTCACCTCTTCAGGAGAATCATTTATGAAGCGACAGTGGCAGTTTCCATTTCTGCTGCAATTGTGAGTCTGAATAACTGCTGGGACTCCACTCAGCTTCGCAGGTGGATGTCTGCTGGGAGCGGCGCTCCTGTTCTCTCAGGGGAGCACAATGGCAGAAAAGGTGGATGAGAAAGTCCCTGAGCTGGAATCTTAATAATCTGTCCCATTTTTTTGCACGTTTTGTCGCTGCAGGAAAGGACTGAATTTCATTCTGTGAGATTTGAGCTGGTAATATGTGAGTCCAGCTGTGACGGTGAGAAAATCATTCATGTTTCATGTGACTGCTCATCTATGCCTGAGCAGTTCTAGATAGGTTTTTGAACGCCAGCGAGGTTTGAGATGAGTTCTCACAGAAACGATCCTGGGGGAGACAATTAAAAAAAACTGATGTTTTAGACAAACGCGGCGGAATTGAAATGTCGTTCAACTTTTTTTTTTTGCTTTTGCTTTGAATCTAAAACAATGTAGTATCGGATAACCCAAAAAGGTTTAAAAAATGAGAAATAAAAATAAAATGATTTGGCAGGATGGACTGAGATCACCCACTCACTGCCTTTACCTTTGTTCAAACATGTTGACGCTTAAAAAGAGCCGAAGAGGAACGAGACAGGAGTATTGTACCAAAACACTGAGGAACCACTGATGCTCTCCTGTGGATCAACTGGCAGAGACTTGAGATTATAATGAACTCAAATAAACACAAACCCAGCTGCTTTATTTTAAATGTAAAACTGAACTGAAAACTACTGASCCCGTSAGGGGACATGGGGGATTTTTTTTTCTTTTTGCGTTACCTCGCAAAAGTCGTTAAACACAGTTGTGCCTGCCGGTTTTTATTAACACATTCACGTGTTCTCCATTAGTGAGTTAGCCTACTGCTTTAATTCAACTTTAGAATGAATATATCACACAACCACGCATGGAAGTATGTCATATGCCGATATTTGAACACAGTGCAGCCACGCAACATCAATGTCAATTCCACGAACTTGTGGCGACACATCCTGTTTTGGTAACCGGATATTTGGCATAAGATAATCTTTTGCCAAATCTCTAGTGTGCTAAGGGGCAGAATGAATATCTCTGTCATTTCTCTGTCTCCTGTTTTTACTTTCTGCCTTGTTACAAKGTGGGTGGAGCTTCTTGAGTCAGCTGCTCTTCTATTGGTCAATAAACAAGAAGGAGCAGGACCCAGGTGCAGATCGACTGTGCATGCACATTTTATTTTAGGTGTATTTATTTATTTATTGGTCCATTCAAAAATGTCTGCTTTTATTTCTAATTATGTCATTTTCGGYCCTCCATATCAGCCAAAACATTATTGCCCACCTTTGCCTTTTGGCTCTGTGGTATTAATAAAAATTAACATGACAGACATGCAAAAGCAGTTGTCAACTTTAYGTGAATGCTTGTCCCTTTCAGCTGCATGTAGGTTGTTATATAACATAAAACCAAGAGCATATAGTTTAAGGAAAAGTGTGAACTCCTGATAAAACTGACAGAAGAGCAGATCAGAAGGGAAACGTTGTTAATCTAAATCAATCTGTCACTTCAGCTCCACAGGCATCCTGGTGGATTTATCATTACTCGGCTCGGGCTAAGCTGCTGATGTTTCAGAGACAYGGTTGGGTCCAAACTTCACCAACTTCAGTCAGATGGAGTCTCATGAGKAAAGCAGAGCAGGGAGACACTTCAGTCCCTCCACAAGTTAACAAGCCCTGCCTTTCAACTGAAAACAGACAACACATTTTAAAAGATGGAGGTTGAAAGCATTAAACACAGCATGATTCTGTTTACAGGCTGTTAGTTATTTATTACTTACTCTGTGAACTCTGATGCAGGTTTCCTGATAATAGTTTTTTTACACATCGATTTTGTAATCGAGCTGCTTCTGAATACTTTGTGTCATTTTTTTACCATTCGTATATCAAAGCATTCAGCGCATTTAGGAGTAGTTGGCTAAGAAATTTAGGACTCGTAATGTTTTATATTTGATTTAATGATTTTATGATTTATTTCAGACAGGAGAAAAACAACAGACACAAACAAGCAGAAATAATTAAATGAATAAAGCAAAACAAGGTAAAACACCAATCCAAATAGTTCAACAACAAAACGAGTAAAGTCAACATGTTTGAAYGGTAGCAGGAACAAGCAAATGCTTATTTTTTAAAGGGATCCATGATTARTTGTAACATTAGACTTTATTTAATAAACATATATTTTAGCTGTAAAATAAAGACTGTAAAAATACTGTAGGATGTTCAGTTTTTATAATTTTTAAACTAAAAGTTTAAAAATATAGTACATGGACGGGGCCATTTTATTTACACCCAAAGCATTCTGGGTAAATGATGACGTGGGTAGGTCCTCGGTGCGAGGCTGCTAGCGAGCTATATCCACCCTGAAGGTTAATCTTGGACAATATCTGACGACTGGCTGATTTCCTGAAACAAGAGAGCGTTGACAGAGAGGAGAAGGTAGAAATAACTCAGCCTGTAACTGAAAATATGGATGGAGGACCTGAGTTTAGCTTGTTTGTCACGCTAGCACTGAGCTAATACATATAAGGCAATCTAGCATCAGTGCTAGCACAAAGGCTAACAGACGAAGCTGAGGTTCTTCTTCCATGAAGCAGCTCTGTTGTCTGTTGTTACTATAAACTTCTGCTTTTTATCTTCTGTTTTGCTATTTTTAGCTTGTGTACTTGCTTTGACTTTAAAACACAAGATTCAGCTTCTGCATTGTTGCAGCMCTTGCTTGTGTCTCTAGTTTTCTGGAAGGGTTAGACTTTATTAGAGGCACACTTGATGCTGTGAATCACAGTGACTGAAAGGCTTCGTGGCGCTGATGCCTTCTGAGCTCAAGGCAAGGAAAACCCACCCCGATGGTTCATTTCCTGTGGGGTTGTGCTCCGTTGTTTCAAATGTCATCGTTAGTGTCTGAAGGCTGTAGGGGGGAAAAAAAGGCATTATTGCATTTTCTACACCTAATTATAAAAACATTAWATCTTTTTCCTGTTGTCCTTTTTCAGTGCGTAGAAACGAAGTGATCATCAGAGTGAAACGATGTAGCATAATGACGCACATTAGCAGTTGTCCCCAAATAAAGGTTATCAGAGTGCCTGGTTGTAATAAGGAAGAAGTTTTATCTGGATTTTATTTGAGCCACCTTGACACCTCCTCCCATCTGAGTTGCTGATTAAATTGCCATGATGACATTAATTTCCTTGACCCTGGAAATAATTATATGCAATTTTTGTCATTTAAATTGTCGCTCATAACCCCATTTWATGAGCATGCTGGTGTAAAATAATGCAATTCATAGCTCATTTATGGGGATTTTTTTTTTTCATTTTTATGAATTCAAATTTACAAACAAGGGCTAGAGCARGGCTATTCAACTGGTGGCCACATCTGGCCCGTGAGTCACCAAAGTTCAGTCCACCAATTGGATCATTCATCTCTTAAGCCCAAACCCCTGGTTTTCTACTTTAATTACTAAAAGATTGTTTTAGTTTAACATACATGTTTGGTATCTACTGAAACATCAAAATCTTGGCTAGAAGCTGGTAAAAACCATTTCTATGCACGCTCAAGACAGTTAAAATTACAAGCAGTAGCAGATAAAACTATGAAAATGATAAAATTTGTTTAAAAATTTGGCAAGTCAGCAATGTCAAAATAATATTTGTGTTAAATATGAGGCATAATGTGTGCTTTTTCGATACTCTTTTATTATCAGTACTTATATAGTGTTCTGTATGTTGTCATCATGATTAAATACAACTAATTCAACTATTTCAAAGGTAACAGATTTTTGTAATACTTGGTTTATTTACAWAACGACTTCAATTGCTGGATGTTCGGCCCCTGAGCGGTTGACCTGCAGTAACTGTGGMCCCCAGAGCAATTTAGTTGAATAGCCCTGGGCTAGAGGAAGATTAGGTTTAGTTTATCTTACTTTTGTCTACTTTTGTGCCAGAAAATATACATTTTTTGTATTTCCAGAAGGTCTTTTAGGCGAGGTGTTGCTAAATATCTTCTTATTCATCTGTTTATTGTCTGCAAACACTCACAGTAACAGTCAGTGGCAGGTAAAATATGAACGAATGGACCTTTAGTTTCTCCTCTGTCTGGTGATGTGTGTATAGAAAATGAAAAGGGAGA